TGCAACTAATAGGCTACTTAAATATATATCACACTATTAAATAGTTAGACATTATGATCTTCCGGACCTAATTTGCTTCAAGAATTTTTCTCTAACCGGACCTCTTTAAATTTTAGTTGAATACCCCTGCCATAGGATTTACTTTTTAACAGTCAGGGGCGTGAGGGGAACACGGACACCCTGGCAGACTGAGGGGGCCTGGCCTTTATAGGGTCTAATGTTGGTTGGCAAAAGCTTCGGAGCCCCCCCCCCCCCCCAACACTCACACACACACACATTTTGCTGGTGGGGCGCAGAATTTCTAGCTATGCCCCTAATCATCAAACAAAACATATAAAATAAGGAAAGACACCTCAGAAAATATAAATAAGCTTTTATTGCCCAGTATAGCCCTGACTGGCGTAACAAGTGCTGATGTAACATATGACGAATGCCCAGTGTAGCCCTGCCTGGCGTGACGATCGAGTGCTGATGTAACATATGACGAATGCCCAGCGTAGCCCTGCCTGGCGTAACGAGTGCTGATGTAACATATGACGAATGCTCAGTGTAGCCCTGCCTGGCGTAACCCAGTGCTGATGTAACATATGACGAATGCCCAGCGTAGCTCTGCCTGGCGTAACGAGTGCTGATGTAACATATGACGAATGCCCAGTGTAGCCCTGCCTGGCGTGACGATCGAGTGCTGATGTAACATATGACGAATGCCCAGTGTAGCCCTGCCTGGCGTGACGATCGAGCGCTGATGTAACATATGACGAATGCCCAGCGTAGCCCTGCCTGGCGTAACGAGTGCTGATGTAATATTGAAATGTCCAAAAAAGTCCATTGCACAGAGACTCTGCCTCTCTGGGACGTTCTTTTTATACCCAATAATCTTACTGGCCTGCTGCCAATTAACCTAAGTAGTTGTGAGGTATTCAAACAGGTTTTTTGTTTTAGCATCACACAACTCTCCCAGTGTTTTTGCCCCGTCCCCACTTTTCAAATTCAAATTGAGCATGTATTTGCCATTAAACAATAAAATGTCTATTTCAACATTTGATCCGCTGTCTTTGTTCTGTTTTCAATGAAATATTAGTTTATATGCATTTGAAAATCATTGCATTGTTTTTGTATACATTTTACAAAGCGTCCCAACTTTTTTGGAAACTGTGTTGTATATAAAAATTAAAGTTGGACATCTGGCTGTTTAATTTTGTGTTAATTGAAACAGTATAAACACAAAATTTTATGGGAGGCAAAAGATTATTTTGGTCACATTATTTTCCTGTTTATTTATTTATAATTATTCCAAAATAAACATTTACAAAAACAAGGAAATAATTTCTAAGAACACAATAACACATCATGTCATACTGTATTCATAACTATTATAATACCATGTATAAATAATTAAGTAACATATTCTTTTGAAACAGTATATATTTGGGTACATACTTTACAGGATGTTTATACACCGCCAAAAAAGTTGTGCACATTAATATTTCGTTGGACCGCCTTTAGTCACTGCATTGTTTCCACATGCTTACGCAACATCAGGTTTTTTTTTTTTTTTAATCTTGTTTTGCATTCATTTCTTGTTGAGCTCTTTTATTGATGATAGGTGAGATGAACCACTCTTTAAACTCTGCTTCAGCACATCTCAAAGACTCTGGCGGCCAATTCATGTGTGAAAATGATTCCTCATACTCCCGAACCACTCTTTGACAGTTCGAGCCCAATGAATCTTGGCGTCATCGTCCTGGAATATGCCCGTGCCATTAGGGAAGAAAAAATCCATTGATGGGATAACCTGGCCATTCAGGAGATCCAAGTACTCAGCTGACTTCACCTTATTGCTACATAATGTTGCTGAGCTGTAATAATGATTCAGTCATGAAATACCTGCAGATTTAAATTCAAACGGTGACTTTTTTTGCCGGCAGTGTATTACCTATTATTCATTATGGTCAAATTTCAGTTTTGTATTATATAGCTTACATTTAATAATTCCATTTATTTCATAATTTGGATGGATTTCGATGCAAAAGATATCCTGATATGCATTCATAATGATCTGAAATGTTATCTACAGTGAGAATATTCCTATGCTACAAGTTGTCAAAACTTTTGCCTGCTCCTACTTCCGTCTGGCTGGAATTGTACATTTAAACAACATTTTAAAAAGAGCAAAATAAAAATAAAGATCTTCAAAATGCCTAAAGCCAGAACAGCCTTCCCTATTTCACAATCCCTGATTACAATGCCATTCCAATCAGTATCCTGCTTGATGAGGAGATCGGTAGCGAATGACAGCGTTAAAAGAAGGAACTCAGACGATCAGATTCCATTTCGCTTTGACTGGCACCCAAAAGACTCTGGGCCTTGTCAATGAAAGCAAAGAAAAAAGACAAACGGCAGTGGAAAGACATGGCAGACCTGCTAGAAGACGACATCCCTGCTGAACAAACCAGCTAATGCTGGTAGGTAGTTTTAGCTAGTTTGAGATGGTCTGAGATGGTCTTTGATGGTCATGCTGGTGTGGCTAGACTATCAAGTTTATCACGTTGGTATAGCCAGCTAAACCAGTTAGAATGACCATCAGAAGCTGGTGTGACCAGATCAACCATCAAACCATCATGCGAAAACATACCTTAGGCTGGTGAAATATCATGACTCTGTCAACCAGCGGCTTAACCAGGTCAAGCTGTTTTTTTCAGCATGGACGGCATGTCATTAGAGCCAAAAAGCACCGTGAAATCAATACAGGTACGACAAGCACGATACACCTGCTGCACAAGACCGAGCTCAGACACTAGAAGTCAAACCTTTCGCCATTCAAACCACCTTTGTACTCCACAGTGAAGAGAACCGGCTCCAAACATTCATAAATCACAAGAACATTCATGGGAAGGTAGACAATCATCATCATCTTATAGCTTTATCAGCGTTTTAATGTGTTTTGAATTAGGGAACACTGACCCCAGTTTGCAGTAAACTAAGTCGACGAACCATAGAGGAACGTCCTGTCTATTTTCGGCAGTAGTATTGGGTTCTGTTTTGCTGTGCTTGCATGAACAGCAGGTCAGGCTTTACCAGGTACACATTCATCTGGGTTAATTGGATTAGTGTTTCTTGCCAGCATGGCACTGGTAGGCTGGTGTTGCACAGAAAAATAAAACACAATGCATATCAGAAAAGTATTTCTCCACTAAAGGATAAATCATGATGTAAATGAGAAAATGCAGTTTTGGTGTATGGTTGAAGCAGACAGCTAATGTACTCTCTATCTTCAATTTATGTTTAAAACATGCCACGGCCTAAAGGCCTCTGTGACCTTTAATAGCACTTGAAATATTCAGTTCTCACTTGTTTACTCGCTATCATTTACCTCTCCCCCCAGGCACTTTCCGTCCATAAGAATGGCATATGTGTCACAAATCTGTGACATTTGGCAGTAACTTCTATGATCTCTTAGGTCAGATTTAGAATGTGCACGTTGAGTTGCTTGAGGCACCACCATAATGGCTCAGCTCTTAAGTTGGATCTGCCGATACTGAATGCTGAATGCTGAATGCTACACACATGGCCAGTTAACATGGAGACTTCAGAAGGCGAGACGAAGTAGTTACAAGCACTGACATGAGGCTGCGCTCTGCTAATCAACCATCCCTCTCAGCAGTTCTGCCCTCCCCCCGAGAAAAAAAAAAAAAAAAAAAAAACAGTCCAAACTCCAAATTAGTAATCTTGACGCTGGTACCCTACAGAGCTGTCAAACACAGCATCGGTGTTGGGCTCCTGGTATGAGCCGCCGTTGGAGTATGCACTGTAGGGGGCGCCGGCTGCATCCTGGCTCGGATCCGTATAGTCCTGGGAGAAGAGGACAGAGTCCGCCCCCAGCTTGTATCTCTGGAACGCCAGAAATGCTTGACCAGCCTTGAAATTGGAGTGTTTGAGATAAGCAGAGAGACAGTGGAGTAGGGTTGCAAATGGTAGATGGAAAGTTGAGTGAATGTACGGAAGGATGGAAAGTTGAGTGAATGTACGGAAGGATGGAAAGTTGAGTGAATGTACGGAAGGAGGGATGGAATGGATATGTGATTGATGGACGGTTTGGGGAATGAAAAAATAAGGCGGACTCACAAACGTGCAATGGTAAAGAAGATAGATTAAAGCCAGTGGAAGGGTAGGAATGTAATTCATAATGAGAAACGGTTTTAAGTAAGGACATAGGATTTTTTTTTGGGGGGGGGGATAAAGAAAGGGACAAGAAAAGAGAAAATAATTAGTCTGATTAGTAGAAAAAGCCAACAATTAGTCAGATTAGTGCAGTCAAAGATCCAAGGAGCGCTGAAGAACCTGTCTCATGTTCTCATCCATCCCTTCTTCTGCTAACACACACCCACATATTGCACACACACACATATCACAGGACTGAATGTGCAGCTCATGTCAATTCAACAGGACACATTCCAGTGTGTTTTAACGTACATGGATTAGCAACATTCTGTGCAAAGCATTCATAAAAACACACGGGGAGGGAAAAACAAAATATAAACCATGACACCTGAGCTGTCCGAAGGCTCCGACTCTGATTCAAGGCAACCAGCATTAAAAACAGCTGCATTATGATGAACAGTGGTGAGATGTAGCAATGGGTGAACTTCAGCATGGAAGTGTGGGAATCAGAAGGAGCTTATGGCTTGTGATCCTAGAAATGAGGGAATGAGTGAGGTATGAAACAGCTGGGACAGCGGAGTTGGCTTGTGCCAGGTGATGAGTTGGGCATGTCAAAGACCGACAAGGCACGCTTTGATTTCAACAAAAAAATCAGCAATAAAGGGAAACAGAAAAAAATCGTCTGTGGGCTCTTCCAGAAAGTAATGTGGTTTATAATAGAAAACAATAGGAAAGCAGTATGACTACAGAGTCCTGCCACAAACGGAAGGTGCAAAATCATTCAATGTCATAGATAACTATGCAATTTGTTTGAAAGTTTGTTGCCTATTATTTTTTGCGTGAATGTATTATGTGTAGCATAACAATGTTACTCTGCTAGTCTTCTGAGAATGTTAAGGGGCGAAGGTTCACATTGTTAATACAGAAGACTACATTCCCACCATACATTGTAACTGCATGTGGCAAATGAACGTTTGTACGCAATTGAACACTTATATTTGGTTAGGCTAAGTTACTCAGCCTTCTCCGCCAACAGGAATCAGTTTGAATCCCAGATCCTCAGCATTTGTTTTGAATGTTATACTGCAGCATTGGGGAAATCCCCAAGAATCCAACGTGGTCAGACTAAAGCAAGGCCAACGACAGACTAATTTGGAAATGTGAATGCATTGTTTCCTCAATAGAAATAAAAACCTAACCTCATTAAATTCCAACAGAAGATTCATGATGGAATTGTTGACTCACAGAAGAATGATGCTGTCACGGCCAAAAACGAACGACGGTCTCAGAACTACGCAGCTTAACTAGCAGTTTAGTAAACCTATGACTTATTACAAAAATGTCAACAACCGCTTCCCCTCCATTCGGACCAGAAACTAATCTGAATAAGTTAGAAGCATAACTATTTTAAATATCAAAAACAGGAACTAAGAACTGAGAGCGCCACTTAGATCAGTGGTTCGCAAACTATGCCACGCAAGCTTCTGCTAGTGGTATGCAAAGGTATCTCATTTTATGACGTTTGTTATAATGGTGGCATGCAGAGAACCTAATATTTTCTGAGGTTGTATATGGTGACCAAAGTTTGAGAACCACTGACTTAATACCATTAATTTAGAATGGCATAGTGATGGATCACATTTCTATTGACATGAATTAGTAAGGCATAAATTTTGTTGTGCCGGCAATTGTACAAAAACAATCACAGGCATTTAGGCAAATAAAGATCATAAAGCCCACAAAGAGCCAGATAATTCTGCTGAGCCTTTGGGCATCTCTGAGGGCTAGATCTCAGTAACAGTGTGGAGGGTGTTAGCATGTTAGGCTAGCGGAGGTGTAGGCTGGGAGGTGAAAAGTTTGTTGTACTCTTCTTCAAAAGACAACCTCTTTAGTCTTTCCAAGGACAGCAGTGTCAGAGCCCCCTACAAAGACAGAAAGTCAGGCGAAACCCCATCAGTGATGTATTCAGAACCGGTGGCAAGACTGCTTCACTGCAGACCTTGCTATTGTTCATTTTTGGCTGCGGTTGGATTTTCAAGCCTGCAATGGGCCTGCCTGGTGCAGCGTTTCCCAATCTGCTCCTCAAGGACCCACAGACAGTCCACGTTTGCCTGACAGGGAGCTCAAAGGCAGCCAAAATATGGACCAACGATGGGTCCCTGAGGACTGGATTGGGAAACATTGGCCTAGAGCAGGGGTCTCAAACTCCGGTCCTGGAGAGCTACTATCCAGTAGGTTTTCTATCCTACCCGGCTTCTGATGAGCCACAACTGTTCCTGGTATTTACCTGAGAACTACTGTGGCTCATCAGAAAGCAGGTAGGATAGAAAACCTACTGGATGGTAGCTCTCCAGGACCGGAGTTGGAGACCCCTGGCCTAGAGCATTAGGCAAACCTACCCAATTAGTTAATGAAAGATAAACACAGAGATTAGGAGAGATTCTCAGCCGAGCCACAAGTACCTGTGTGAAGTAAATTATAACCACCCTGAAATGCTATTTGTCACAAAATACCATTCATCTCACAAAAAGAGGAAATGCATGGAACAGCAGTGTTGGTGCTGAGAGTGTGGCACTGAGGACCACAAACAGACCAAACTAGAAGAAGAGTAGCTATCACAGATGCAGAATGAAGCGAACACAGACACTAAGAATCTGAAACATGTGAAAATGGAGGTGACGGCAAAGAGTCCTCCGGCCCCCGTGAAATAAGCAGAAGATGGTACAGACCCAAGTGAAGATGGAGAAGAAGGAGAAGGTGATGGCGGCTCGAGCAGCATCTCCACCCTTGCTCAGAGGGTTGTCCTCCGTCTTAGCCACTTGCCACTGGTTCGCCAGGAAGCAGAAGCCCACAAACCACATGAAGGACCAAAATGCTGAAAGACAATACAAAATTATTTAATTTATGAAGATATCCAAAATTCTAGCGTGACAGTTTCACCACAACACAATCACACACATAAAGGCTTTGCACAAGAGTGTGTCTGTGGGAATTTTTGCCCATTCATTCACAACAGTGTTTGTGAGGTCAGGCACTGATATTGGACAAGAAGGTCTGGCTCGCAGTCTCCGCTCCATTTCATCCCAAGGGTGTTTGATGGTGTTGAGGTCAGGGCTCTGCATGGGCCAGTCAAGTTCTTCCACACCAAACTCAACCAATAATGTCTTCATGTACCTAATTTTGTGCATGCCAAGTCATTTTGGACAATTCTATGCTTCCAGCTTTGTGGGGACAGTTTGGGGAAGGCCCTTTTCTGTTCCAGCATGACTGTGCCCCAGCGCTCACTCATATCAGCCATGAAAGGCCCTCCAACTGCACTGCGGTGTACATCTTTAAGGTTGCAGGCCTAATGTGTGCCGTGACACATTCAGATGTAGGGCTGCAACTTTGGAATATTTTCACATTCGAATATTTGGCTGATTTTTTTCTGTATATTTGGGTTTTGCACAACATTATGTCACCGACATTTGGAAAATGCTCTCACACTCCAGAGCTTTGTTGACATTCAGTGCTAGGGGGACTGGCTTGACTCCAGCCATGTGTGTTACTTGCGATAAGAATTGCATTCTTATCTAGAATTGCATTAAATTCATTGCCAGCACACTGGATGCAAATTTAGGTTATTGACCAATTATTCAAATGCAGATTTTTCTTCTTGAATCTTTACATTGAAATTTTTTTAATATCTCGAGTATTTGTTGTAGCACTTTTCAGTTGCCATTTTGAGCATCTTTGCTGATACCTCAATCCATGAATTCACCTGGATTTTTTACCGGAACAACTCAGATACACTATTTTGCTTGCCAGCTCTAGAGCAGAGCATCACCAGGGAAATGAGCCCATATCCTTTACTGCTACGCTACCCTGATGCTCACATTGTCATCCATTCAAAGAGCTTGATGTTAATAACTGACCCAGTCGGCAAAAATAAAAAAATTATAAAAAGGAGGACCAAGGTAAGATGTTGAATAATCGCCGAAACAAAAAAAGCTGCTTTTTTTGTGTAAATACTGTGGATCTTTACGGGAAAGCAAAAAAAAATAATTTAAAAATAGAACAAAATAAACCTGACTGACAGTGACAAGCCCGTCTACTTCATATTTTACTTTATGTAATTTTTTATTTTGCCTGGCAGTCACCATGACACACGTGGTTATATGATGCTTCATAGAGAACGAAAACGCAAAGTCAAGCAGCAGTATAATAGAATGCGAATGAGCTGATCACCACTCATCATGCCGCAGACTGGAGCAGCATCACAAAGACCAGCGGCAGGCAGCATGTGGCCTTTGAGGAGAGACGGTGACAGCAGGAGGAGTCACAAGGTAACAGCTGGGGCTGCATCGTACTTAGGGACATATGTCGCAAATAAAATCTAATGCGGACCGTTGATTAAAAAGTTTGAGCAGCCCAGCACTATAATGTAAATCAGACAACTACAGCTATTTGCAGAGATATGTAAAGCTAATAATACCACAAGGTCAACTCCTTTGCCAAAAACTTTGAGCATTATCAATTAACGCCAGTTACTGTTAGCTAAACCTCTGCACTTACCCTCCAAGCACTTTAAGGCTATTAAGTGACCTTAATAAAAGTAGTTATTTTGTACGATGCCCACGGATAGCTTAAGCACATGCTACCGCTACTTGCAGGATGTCTCATGGCATATTTGTACACGTGTTATGTTTCCGGGATATGAACATTGGCATGTGCTCAAACAGGAAGTGACCACACCCAAGCTGCCCCACCCCCAAGGATGTAACCTTACCGGACACCCCAATGTCGGCCAGAACGGCCTTCTTGCGGTCTTTAACGCTGCTGATCTGGGGAAAGTAGACGTCCAGAGCCAGGAAGGCCATGCAGCACAGGAAGGCCAGCGTTCCCATGGCTACGCCATAGTTGCAGGCATTCTGGTTGCGGTTGAAAATGCAGTACTCCTCGACCTCGCTAGGGCGGTTCAAGTAGCCCTCGTTGGCGATACAGCCGAAGATCACGATAGAGAACAGCTGTGGGATGGGGAGGGAGAGAAATGACCAAAACGACAGGTAAAAACACGGGGTAAAAGCATAACCTCAGGCTGTACATTGCCAAGGCAGCACTGATGCTACTAATATTAGCTCAGCGACAGCCAGGGAACAGTTATCGCTATGGGAATAGCCTCTTCACAGCTCACTCATCATCTCTCAATGTTCACCGCGTGCGAGAAAAGTGTGTCAGCATCAGTAAGACCTGCCACATCCTCCCCAATCCACTAAATGCTAAAGAGTCCCCACTGTAAACTGCACTGTAGCTCCACCCCAAAAACCATGTGCCAGCAGCTCACTGCTTTTAGCTCCTCAGCGTAGCGCAGCTCACTGCTTTTAGCTCCTCAGCGCTAGCGCTGCCTGCTAACATGCCGTGCTGACCTGCATGAACATCAAAACTGTTTTTTTGTCAGTGTCAGTTGTAGGGAGGTAGAGCAGTTCTGCCCGAGAACTAAAGGGCACTAAAACGTAACCAGCTGTAACTGACAAAACCATAAAAGTCACCATGTGTATATATCTATATGTACATGTGCTAAAGGGATTTGGCTGCTCCCTGCTTTTTGTGAAATTCAAAACTAGAATAAATCCAAAAGAACTACAAAAGCCCCTTAACTCATTTTCATTTGGGCCCAAGAATGAATGTGATGGGTAATGTGTTTGTGCACATGAGGTCTCTAGAAGAAAAATCTCTCAATTTATGTCACTGTGAGCACTGTTAGCACCATTCCATACTGTCGAAATATGATTTTGATCCCAAAGGCTTCCGCAAATGTCAGCCTCAATAAATTAGCTTTAATATGGTTTCCAGATGGCAATAGGAAAGGGGCAATGGAGGGAGCGGTGGGAGATGCCACAGAACATCAAATGATGTCAAGAAATGTGACCTAGACCAGCAGTAGCTCCTACAACATAATCGGGCCTGTTCTGCAGAAATTTGGCAGTGAGGGAGAATCTAGTTTGGGGGTAATACAGCAATTATTATCCCTAAAACAGCTGGACATTCCAGCAATGTTTCCTTTTCCCAGGCTTGAATGAACGCTAATGGGGGCAAAGCTTGCTGACGAAAAATTACTGCATAACTGAAACAATAATGGGATTGAGAACTGGACACATACGGACACAGACAGCAGGACAAAAGCAGGGCTCCTTGTGATCCACGCCGTTTCAAAGCTGCGAGCCGACTCCTGTGCCTGCATGCTTACAGGGTTGCCATGCGACTCCTGTGCCTGCACGCTTACAGGGTTGCCATGCGACTCCTGAGCCTGCACGCTTACAGGGTTGCCATGCGACTCCTGTGCCTGCCCGCTTACAGGGTTGCCATGCGACTCCTGTGCCTGCCCGCTTACAGGGTTGCCATGCAA